TCTCTTTCCCAATGAATATATCGCAGTACTTGAAGCTCACCACCTTATTAAGGGTGAAGCACACCGTGGCGCATTTTGAGGTGTTAATTTTGAGCCCCCATTTATTTGCCCAATCACAAAAGGCGCTGAGGTAGACATTAAGGCCTCCGGCAGCTGCTTGCGGTGTTTTGCAGCTGTACAGCACAGCCGAGTCATCAGCATAAGTAGCCAACAATAATTTTTCCGGGTTATGGCAAGCAGGAAAATTTGAAATCATTTCCGGAAGGGGCAAGTCGGAGGTGAAGATAGAATAAAGGAAGGGTCCCAAGACACTGCCCTGGGGGACCCCGGCCTTGACATCCTTAATAAGCGATCTGGTTCCATTTCCACCTTTAACAAAGAAAGTCCTGCCAGAAAGGTAGCTACGCAGTATGTTGAAAAGCTGGAAGGGAAGCAGTTTAAACAATTTTAGAAGGAGCCCATCGTGCCATACTCTGTCAAAAGCCTGTGTAAAGTCGATAAACACAGCTGAACAGTACTCTTTATTATCAAAGGCTTTGAGAATGTACTGGCAGACTCTAAAAATTTGCTGTTCACCGCTGTGACCTTCCCTAAAACCAAATTGGTGATAGGGTATAGCCTTGGCAAAATTTTCATATTTTAGCATTTTATTCAACAGCAATCTTTCAAATATTTTTGAGAAACCAGGGAGCAAGCTGATTGGCCGATAGGAGGATGGATCATGGACCGACTTTCCGGGCTTGAGGATCATCGAAATTTCCGCCTGTTTCCACTTGGACGGAAAATAACCCAGCCTGAGCGAACAATTATAAATATTAAGGAGAAAGAGAAGAGCTTTCTTGGGCAAGGCTTTGATGAGTTTATTGGTGATCCTGTCCTGACCAGGAGACTTTGAGGTGGCAAGCCCAGCGACGATAGTTTTCAGCTCATCAAGGCGGAAGAAAAGTGAGTTGCCAGTGTTAGTGGGTGAGTTTACCATCAGCTTGTTTAGTTCATCTACTAATGCCTTTTTATCCAAATCCAGGTTCAAGATATTAAAGTTGGGAGAAAAACGCTCCTCAAGATGGGATGCAAATACGTCAGCTTTTTCCCGTTCCGTCCTTGTCCACCTAGATTCAGGCATCCTGGTCATAGCAGCATTAGGAGGCACATCAATCCGAAATTTGAGTGGATGGCTAGAAGGAGCAACACGCTTCAAGTTCCTGGTGATCTTCCAAATCCTTGACATAATATACTTGTCGCTTGGGTCCAGGCGGGCTAACTGGCGATCAATGTTGTTTTGTTTAGTCCGCTTAATGGCTTTAGAAAGTCTATTTTTTATTATTCCAAGCTTCCTTTTATTATTAGGTGTTCGTTTTTTCCTTAGACTTCTTCTGAGGAAATTTGCTTGGAACAGCAGAATTTTAGTGCGAAGATCCAGCTTTGCTGTCGGGGGGTGTCTTTTAGGAACAGGATGGAAAGCAGCATGTTGGTCCAAAGCTTCACGGATTTTCCGGGTAAGAATACCAATGGCATCATCAATATCCTCTATTGATTTCAATTCCATGTTAAGGTTTATGCTCCTCTCAAGTGTTGATTGAAAAGCCTTGAAACCATGGACGCTACGAGGAGGAAAAAGAGGCCAATTGATAACTGAAGGGGCATCCGGAAGAGCCAAAGGAGCACACCCAAGGGCTGCCTCAATAAGCATAGGGAGGTGGTCTGAGTAAAGCCCATCCATCGATGAGATACGGATGTGTTTTGGGGAAAAACCAGAATATATCCCAAAATCCAAATTAGATGGATTAGATTTCCGGCTAAAAGGAAAATGGGTAGCTGATCCTGTGGCAAGAACATTGTATCTGGCTCTAGAATGTATAGCTTCGGCTAATAATTTGCCCCTGCAACAACCACGAGCACTGCCCCACATCTGGTCCTTGGCATTCCAATCACCCGCCAATATAAAGCGCAAGGAGCTTGGTGGGCAGAGCGCGTCTATACGCCTGAGGAGCTGGGTAAATTCGCCGACTGCCCATCTAATAGACGGTGGACAATAAATGGATGACACAACAACATTGTTAATCAAGACAGGACAGGCTTGATATGATTCAAACTCCTCAGGGCTAAGGACAGAGTGTGACAGTCCATGGCGGACAAGAGTTGCAGCTCCGCCCTTACGATGGTTTACCGGGTTTCTGGCCAAATATGAATGGTATCCATCAATAGTGAGAGATCCGACTTTGGACTCACATATAAGCATGACATCTATATTGTAATTGGCTAAAAATTCCTTCAAATCAGCCAGCTTGTTGGAAACGCCGCCCGCATTCCAGAAGCAAATTTTTAGCAGCTTTGGATTTTTTGGATTTTTTCCTTGGCACTGCTGAAAGGGAGGATGGAAGGAAGAACTAATCATAATAAACATCATTAGCGTTTAATAGTTGGACAAGTGAATCCTCCTCGTCGACAGATGCCATCTCAACCGAGTGACAAATGCTTTGTAATTTTGTATTATTAATAGACAGCTCTGTTATGTCAAAAGCTGCAGTAATTTTATTTATAGATTCAAGTAATTTAATAAATGACTTCCCAAGCTCCTCAACTTTAAGCAAAACTTTTTATTTATCTGGTTCCCTTCCAGGATAAACTGCCTCTGTTGATCCTCAACAGCCAACAGCCTTTGCTGCCAATGATCGAGCTGCTCCTGATACGATTTGGGTTTGGGTGGCAACATCTCATGCTGACGCTGCCGTTGCCTTGAATTGTCCTCTATTCTTATTTTATTAGTATTATTAGTATTATTTTGATTGTGCTCCATCCGAAGCCTTGTTTGAAATCTAGCCAGGTGGGATTCGGCCAGATTTTTAAGTTTCTTCTTATCCTGGCTGCGAAAAGGATTGGAATGCTGCCTTTTGCTAACACGGTCATAACCAGGGGACTTGGACAAAGGGGTTTGGCCTTTCCTCTTCCCAAAACCGAGCGCTGATTTTGGTTTCGCCTATCGGTTAATTGGGAGTTTATGTTGCTGTTCCTATTCCTGTAGCCAAAACTATCACCCAAGTGCTGCGCCGATTGCTCAGAGGCCTTCAGGATGGCAAAACGATTTTGACTGGGTTTTTGAATTGGGCGATCATGCTTTGGAGTATGACGAGCTGGTGGCCGTTTGTGGGGACGACGTATACCAGCCTTCTTGCGCTGATGAGTGTCAAAGTGACCATTTTTGTAATCCTGATATGCAGGACAGCCCCTGTAGGAGGACACATGGCGTCCGCCACAGTTGCAGCACAAGGCAGGACGAAAGCGGGGTTTTTGGCAGGCCGTGGTAGGATGACGGCCCGCACATTTCAAACAATTGAAGGGCCTCCTACACGAACCCTTAAGATGTCCAAAACCTTGACATCTGTGGCACTGTAGGATTACCCAAGGTGGATTGGAATAATCCAAGGCTCTCGGTGATCGGGGCGTTAAAGGGGGGACAACATTAGACTTTCTCCGCTCCTCGCTGTAGAGCCTTTTCGCAAAGTTGCTCTTGAAGGACGGGGTCCTTAAGGCTGAGGACTTGTTAGAGCCTAAAGGCGGAAAATTCTCCTCATAGGATTTCGCATATATGTTTGATTTCTGTTGCTGTTGCCTATGCTGCTGCTGCTGCTGTTGCCTTTTAGTCCTGATACGCTCAATCTCACCAAGCGAATTTGGCGATGTATGGACCAGGGCTTTGGCTTTAAAAAACAAAGGACCTTGGTCTACCGAACTGGCTGCACTGGGAGCTTTCAGGTTTATACTTGGTTTGAGAGAGGGGCGTATCGGAGGTAGGGGCGTGGCAGGTTTAGTAATGGCAAAATTTTTCAAGTCAGAGAAAAGTTTTTAAGGACCTGCACCGACTGTATTTTGACAGAGGAGGAAGGGCCCTGTTTATCATTTCCTATTTCCAGAGCAGCTGGAGTTAGATCCCCTTGGGCAAAGGATTTGGGTCCAAGTTCATGGGCTTTGGCTTTGTCAGCGGAAGTTGTTCCATTTTCTAAATTTACATTACATGAAGAAACAACAAGTGGTTCAAAAGGCACTTTTGTTTTAGGACAACAGATGGCGCCCTGTCCTGGCGCTGCTAATGTTAATGCACATACTGGATTGCGAATGGGGGACTGTTAATTGAGTTAACATTTTTATGTATGTTAATGTCTTTTGGGGTAACAATAGAGGTGTGGCAAGGGGGGCTGCAGTTAATTTGCTTGTTACATTTAACAAGGGACTCCTCCAGGAGGACCCTTTTTTCCGTGCTAAAAAGCACAGTCGGAGATGAGGAAAGATTTCGTTTATTATTATGTCTGTTATCTTTGCCACTGTTAATGGCAGGTGTCAATTTCTCATTCGAAGAGATCAGAGTATGTTCTTCGTCGTTGGTGTGTGTGCGTTTGTCTCCTCTTTTAATATCTGTCTCCGTACAGGTGTGTGGGTGAGTGGGGAAAAAACGGCTTGCGCTTGCGCAGTTATTTGTATTCCTATTTTCATATGTATGACCTGGTATTGGTTGGAGCCCAGAATGCACGCTATGAGGGGGGCATTAACCTCCTGGGCAGAAGAGCAGGGGCTCTTTGGCAAATTTCCCATGGAAATAATTGGGGAATTTTTTGGAAGAACATCGTTTGATAGGTATGTTTCCGCCACCGAGGAGGGAAGTGAGGGTGATTTATTAAATTTAGATTCATACTCACAGCGGTGAGGTGAGGAAACATCCGGTAGAATTAAGGAAATTGGGGATGAAATATCGAAAATTATCTCGTCGTCCGATTCAAAAAAGGTATCCATTATAAAAAACTTTTTTCCTTCCTTCTCCTTCTTGTCCAGTTACTTGTCCAGCTCCTGTATGCCGCTATTCCGCACTCCTTCGTGTGTGTGTGTGTTTCTCCAAATTTTGATTAAAATTTCCGGTACCACCAAAATAATAAATTAACACTTTGTTTTTTTTTTTTTTTTAATTTTGATTTTTTAATTTAATTGATTGTTTTATTGGCTTTTGATTTTGTCTTTAATCGTTTGTTCTATTGGCTTTTGAGTTCTGCAATTGGTTTTACAATTTTAGTTTCACAATTTAGTTGGCTTTTAACTTTTCACAAAAACAGTTTACATGGATTTACATGGGTTTTACTTTTGGTTTTACTTTAGTTTACATGGATTTGGTTCAGTTCTGTTTAATTAGATTTTTAGATTTTTACTAGGTTTTGGGATTTTGGGACGACCGCCGCCAACGGTCACAATTGCAGAGTGAGTGGTGAGCATCCGGAGTATTACCCCAGAGGGCAACTTTTGTTCCGAATACTCACCACTTTACATGGCGGGAAAAAGCGACATCGATAAACATGGCGGGAAAAAGAATTCTTTGGGACGGCAGGGCATCGATAACAGGGTTGCAGCAAAAACATCAGAAGTCTTATACAGTGACAAGGGCTGCAGCGTCACATTGGCGGGAATTTTGTTGAAGCGCAGCAAGACATCAGCGGTGGTAAAACGGAGCTGGAGCAGGACGACGGGGGCATTTTGGATAAATTGCCGGGCAATTCATGCCAATCCTTGGCATATGGCAAATCCGATAGCATCATCCATGGCAACTGGTAACATCGTGACGTGGATGGGTGGCAACGCTCTCAGAGACATGGAAGAGAATTGCCATAATTTAGTAAAAGGTAAAAATTTACAATAATTGACAATAAGTACGACGAAAACATTTATCAGAAAACAAGGACATAGTCAAAAAGGAAAAACATTAACTATGGCCAAAATCATCATCAAATGGGGATTCTCATCATGGAGGTTTATTTCAACTTTTAATTTATTTATTTAGTGTGAAAAACATGCTGGCAGCCCCCTTGCAAAGTTCCAATTTGTAAACATTGATTTTGTTTTGATTCCTCTCCAGATTGCTGCAGTTCCGGGAAAATGGCATAACTTTAAACAAAATGGCACAAAAGTGGACGGACGAGGGCAGCTCCAAAAACATAAGAATTGACATCAGGAGGGACAGGAATCAGGTCAAGAGTTCAGCAGTTAAGTATCCATAGTCATTATAATAAATTCCAACACTCCAAATTTGTTTTTCAGGAGGCCATCGTCCAAGTAAATACATCAAGAGGTCCAGGGGGGTAAAAGTCGTCCAACAGAGTAAAATAATTATCATAAAATCAGGGGTAATCCTTGTCTTAAAAAAAAAATATCACAGCATATATATCACAGTTTGGTTTCCATAGCAGGTTGACCCCGTTGTCCAAATTTACCCGGGAGGAGATCGTCAGGAGAAGGTCCAGTAGATTTGTCAAAAAGGCTTCATAGGACGACAAGGATGAAAGGAAGGAAGTTAATAATGGCAAAATAGATAAGGGAAGTTCCATGTTTGCTGATAAGGATTCCTTTTATTGTTTATTTTCCTTTTTTTTTTTCCTTTTATTTTCAGGTACATTGCGGGACATCACAAATGCGGAGGTAATCCATGTCAATCCATATTGCAGAGGGAAAGAATATCGCAGAGTTAGTGAAATTTGTCCGTAGAACTCGTCAGGCACAGGTTGCAAGATTGGCGTCTGAAACTGTCAGGTAAGTGTTTATTGCACAGGAACGAAAGTAATTAAAGATCCGGAGAGTCAGGAATCTCAGTTAAAGTTAGTGAGCAAGGCCAGCAAGAATCCATATAGTCAGGCACAGGTTGCAAGATTGGCGTCTGAAACTGTCAGGTGAGTGTTTATTGCACAGGAACGAAAGTAATTAAAGATCCGGAGAGTCAGGGATCTCAATTAAAGTTGGTGAGCAAGGCCAGCAAGAGTCCATATTAGCGTCCTCATCAAAGTCCTCCGGGCCGCAGTCAGGGATAATACACCGTCTTATCGCAGGAGCTTGGGACTTAATTAAATCAACAACACTGGCCCGTGAAAGGGCGCCGCAGGTAAAAAGTCTCCTAAGGGCTTTGATCATTTCCCCTTGGAATTTCGAAGGCAGGTGAGCTGAAGGTGGTTGCAGGACATGTCTAGCGTGGCTATCCCTATTTGGATTCTTTCTTTTCCTAGGAGGAGAGTCAACAATCTCAATAGGGCTGGGCAGCCTTTGAGCTGTGGCAGACTTTTCAACAAACTGAGTTTTTCCAGTCTCAGCCGCTGCACCTCCTCTTCATACATACGCAGGAGGGTTGGGGGAGTGGGTTTAGCAAGTTTATTGCCCTTGTTGGTTATCTTTTGTTGATAGAAAGGTGCCCCTGCAACAGCTTCAAGTATCTCAGCCTAGATCTGCTTATTCTCCGTAGTGAGACAGGATTCGTTCCTAGTTCTTTGACAGCTGGGTTATCGTTACCCAGTGCTGTGACAAAGAAGCGATTGCAGTGCTCAGTGTAGAGGTCATCCAAGGTTTTAATATTATTTAATAGAAAAATATCATTATTTTTGGCGTACCTATCATAGCCCAGAGCCTTACGAATGATTCGATTGGTTGTTGATTGGACTTTATTCACAGAGGTGTCGGAGGATAAAGATGCCCACACCGGTAGCGCGTATTGCCAAAGTGGCATGATAAGTTGTTTAATAAGAGTTGACTTGGTGGCCCTATTTAAATGGCTATTTGGGCCAATAAGCCAATTGAGTTTTTTGGCCCTCGCACGGACCCTAATGCAGAGGTGGGTTGTATGAGATTTAAGGGTCAATTTCTCGTCAAGTGTGACCCCAAGATAATTAAATGATTTACTACTCCGGATTTTCTCTTTCCCAATGAATATATCGCAGTACTTGAAGCTCACCACCTTATTAAGGGTGAAGCACACCGTGGCGCATTTTGAGGTGTTAATTTTGAGCCCCCATTTATTTGCCCAATCACAAAAGGCGCTGAGGTAGACATTAAGGCCTCCGGCAGCTGCTTGCGGTGTTTTGCAGCTGTACAGCACAGCCGAGTCATCAGCATAAGTAGCCAACAATAATTTTTCCGGGTTATGGCAAGCAGGAAAATTTGAAATCATTTCCGGAAGGGGCAAGTCGGAGGTGAAGATAGAATAAAGGAAGGGTCCCAAGACACTGCCCTGGGGACCCCGGCCTTGACATCCTTAATAAGCGATCTGGTTCCATTTCCACCTTTAACAAAGAAAGTCCTGCCAGAAAGGTAGCTACGCAGTATGTTGAAAAGCTGGAAGGGAAGCAGTTTAAACAATTTTAGAAGGAGCCCATCGTGCCATACTCTGTCAAAAGCCTGTGTAAAGTCGATAAACACAGCTGAACAGTACTCTTTATTATCAAAGGCTTTGAGAATGTACTGGCAGACTCTAAAAATTTGCTGTTCACCGCTGTGACCTTCCCTAAAACCAAATTGGTGATAGGGTATAGCCTTGGCAAAATTTTCATATTTTAGCATTTTATTCAACAGCAATCTTTCAAATATTTTTGAGAAACCAGGGAGCAAGCTGATTGGCCGATAGGAGGATGGATCATGGACCGACTTTCCGGGCTTGAGGATCATCGAAATTTCCGCCTGTTTCCACTTGGACGGAAAATAACCCAGCCTGAGCGAACAATTATAAATATTAAGGAGAAAGAGAAGAGCTTTCTTGGGCAAGGCTTTGATGAGTTTATTGGTGATCCTGTCCTGACCAGGAGACTTTGAGGTGGCAAGCCCAGCGACGATAGTTTTCAGCTCATCAAGGCGGAAGAAAAGTGAGTTGCCAGTGTTAGTGGGTGAGTTTACCATCAGCTTGTTTAGTTCATCTACTAATGCCTTTTATCCAAATCCAGGTTCAAGATATTAAAGTTGGGAGAAAAACGCTCCTCAAGATGGGATGCAAATACGTCAGCTTTTTCCCGTTCCGTCCTTGTCCACCTAGATTCAGGCATCCTGGTCATAGCAGCATTAGGAGGCACATCAATCCGAAATTTGAGTGGATGGCTAGAAGGAGCAACACGCTTCAAGTTCCTGGTGATCTTCCAAATCCTTGACATAATATACTTGTCGCTTGGGTCCAGGCGGGCTAACTGGCGATCAATGTTGTTTTGTTTAGTCCGCTTAATGGCTTTAGAAAGTCTATTTTTTATTATTCCAAGCTTCCTTTTATTATTAGGTGTTCGTTTTTTCCTTAGACTTCTTCTGAGGAAATTTGCTTGGAACAGCAGAATTTTAGTGCGAAGATCCAGCTTTGCTGTCGGGGGGTGTCTTTTAGGAACAGGATGGAAAGCAGCATGTTGGTCCAAAGCTTCACGGATTTTCCGGGTAAGAATACCAATGGCATCATCAATATCCTCTATTGATTTCAATTCCATGTTAAGGTTTATGCTCCTCTCAAGTGTTGATTGAAAAGCCTTGAAACCATGGACGCTACGAGGAGGAAAAAGAGGCCAATTGATAACTGAAGGGGCATCCGGAAGAGCCAAAGGAGCACACCCAAGGGCTGCCTCAATAAGCATAGGGAGGTGGTCTGAGTAAAGCCCATCCATCGATGAGATACGGATGTGTTTTGGGGAAAAACCAGAATATATCCCAAAATCCAAATTAGATGGATTAGATTTCCGGCTAAAAGGAAAATGGGTAGCTGATCCTGTGGCAAGAACATTGTATCTGGCTCTAGAATGTATAGCTTCGGCTAATAATTTGCCCCTGCAACAACCACGAGCACTGCCCCACATCTGGTCCTTGGCATTCCAATCACCCGCCAATATAAAGCGCAAGGAGCTTGGTGGGCAGAGCGCGTCTATACGCCTGAGGAGCTGGGTAAATTCGCCGACTGCCCATCTAATAGACGGTGGACAATAAATGGATGACACAACAACATTGTTAATCAAGACAGGACAGGCTTGATATGATTCAAACTCCTCAGGGCTAAGGACAGAGTGTGACAGTCCATGGCGGACAAGAGTTGCAGCTCCGCCCTTACGATGGTTTACCGGGTTTCTGGCCAAATATGAATGGTATCCATCAATAGTGAGAGATCCGACTTTGGACTCACATATAAGCATGACATCTATATTGTAATTGGCTAAAAATTCCTTCAAATCAGCCAGCTTGTTGGAAACGCCGCCCGCATTCCAGAAGCAAATTTTTAGCAGCTTTGGATTTTTTGGATTTTTTCCTTGGCACTGCTGAAAGGGAGGATGGAAGGAAGAACTAATCATAATAAACATCATTAGCGTTTAATAGTTGGACAAGTGAATCCTCCTCGTCGACAGATGCCATCTCAACCGAGTGACAAATGCTTTGTAATTTTGTACTATTAATAGACAGCTCTGTTATGTCAAAAGCTGCAGTAATTTTATTTATAGATTCAAGTAATTTAATAAATGACTTCCCAAGCTCCTCAACTTTAAGCAAAACTTTTTTATTTATCTGGTTCCCTTCCAGGATAAACTGCTTCTGTTGATCCTCAACAGCCAACAGCCTTTGCTGCCAATGATCGAGCTGCTCCTGATACGATTTGGGTTTGGGTGGCAACATCTCATGCTGACGCTGCCGTTGCCTTGAATTGTCCTCTATTCTTATTTTATTAGTATTATTAGTATTATTTTGATTGTGCTCCATCCGAAGCCTTGTTTGAAATCTAGCCAGGTGGGATTCGGCCAGATTTTTAAGTTTCTTCTTATCCTGGCTGCGAAAAGGATTGGAATGCTGCCTTTTGCTAACACGGTCATAACCAGGGGACTTGGACAAAGGGGTTTGGCCTTTCCTCTTCCCAAAACCGAGCGCTGATTTTGGTTTCGCCTATCGGTTAATTGGGAGTTTATGTTGCTGTTCCTATTCCTGTAGCCAAAACTATCACCCAAGTGCTGCGCCGATTGCTCAGAGGCCTTCAGGATGGCAAAACGATTTTGACTGGGTTTTTGAATTGGGCGATCATGCTTTGGAGTATGACGAGCTGGTGGCCGTTTGTGGGGACGACGTATACCAGCCTTCTTGCGCTGATGAGTGTCAAAGTGACCATTTTTGTAATCCTGATATGCAGGACAGCCCCTGTAGGAGGACACATGGCGTCCGCCACAGTTGCAGCACAAGG